TTCCTCGCAAAGATTCCAGTAGCGGTCTTCGACTTATCTGCAGGACCACATACTCGCGGGGTCATTGAAGGGTTGCCAGTATTTTTCTACTTGCAATATACTTACGTGTTTCTCCTTCCGACAGTTCTTTTTAAAAGTAACTTCATATTACATATTACATACATCCTTAGCATGGCCCATAGTCAATATAGCCCCGTATGTTTCTTCTAGAAAAACATCTACCAAGTAATGAGCAATACATATTTCCGTGTTGGAACTTTTCGACCGAACAGTTAGGTATATTGATTTGAAGAAAAACACATTTGGCTTGGTTATTGGTGCCCAGTGGCCATAATCAGGTATTTAGCATTCTGATATGTGTGTAGCGCAATTCCAAAGTATGTAAAAGGACATAGTGCATGCTGGTAGCGTTTAAACCACTTTTTTGCCATAAATTCTAAACTGTATTTATTTTGTTAATTTAGTCTAATTTGATTTAGTCTATTTTAATTTAAATAAACTTCAATTTAGGTTTCAAAATTTAGATCAGTTGAAGTGAACATTATAGACTACTTGCTAAAAAATAAATCAAGCGTAAACACTTTCTAAGGACATACTTGTATGAACACATGTTTTTGCATATTCATGTTGAACGTTTCAAAGTTTCAATTCGTAGAGATCCAATACAGCCATAAAGTAGAATTTGTGTGCTTTCCAAATCTACACAAAGGTTGCTTGAGAAGAAACAAAATATCTCACTTTACTGTGGGCAAAGCTTGTGGTATACGGAGTATATGCGTCGCTGAAGCAGATTTTCTCGTTAAATGCTCACATTCCTTCGTCAACAAGCGTGGCCTCCTTTATCGGATAATAAGGACTTGATTACCATTGGAATTCCCATTCCAATAAATGTGGTTATTAGCTTCGAATAATTTATGAAGGGATAGCTGAAAATAGGAGGAGTCCTTATCAAAGCACTCATTACCTATCAAAACGAGCTGTAATTTCAGCGTAAAAGAATCTAAGCGAAAACAACTGTTACCGGATGATGAATGTCTTTTTGTTCCAAAGAAGGACGGATCGAAGTTGGATCCTGCACCCTCCATATTTTTAATACAAATATATAAAATATGTTTAAAAATATAAAATATTATAAAATGCATTAAAAATATCAAGCTTTTCAGGATACCGGATTAAACTCGCAAGTTGAAAATTAACTTTTCCTTGTTTAGTAATCTCAATAGAACGCGAAGCAAAGGTGAGGAAATAAAATTCCAATGTTACTCTCAATTAATCACTATAATGCAAAATTCGGCATTTTTAAGACCTACGGAAATGCCAATAGATAGGGAATATCTTGCATTCCGCCCCACAAAAAGGAAAATCGTAACATGAGTATATGGAGAAATTCATCGCATTTATGATAGATTGGCATAATTGTCACCCAAAATGCCGAAGATGGTCGCAAAGAAGGAATTGGCGTCAACGATGCGCATCGTAAGAGGTCCCTCATCAAAGTGAGAATGAATCATGCTTTCTAGGTTGTTGGAAAAGATCGCCTTTAAGCACCAGTTAGACCCTAAACTCTATCGCTTAAATTCTGCAAGATGCTCGCGGATAGTGAAAACGAAGAAAAACTCATAGTCAGGCGTGAATTAAAATGAGGAAGCACAACATGACTGCGTGAATCTCTTTTCTGATTAGCTATTTAAAAGAAATGAGAAGGAGCGTCTGGAACGAGATATTACCGGACTAAAAAATAAATCCAGCACAAAGTTAGTAAAAGGGAAGATGGGTGCAGAATAGACAGAACACAAAAATGATCGCCAGCGATGGACAGCTGGATGTTTGGTGGGATTGGAAGGAATTTTTCATGATAGGAGCTTTGCCACCCAACGAAACTGTTGACTTCACTAGTTTCTGTTTACAACATCAAAACTGAAGCAGTGCAATGCAAAAAACAGTCGGCTAATAAAAAAGTCGTTGTGTCTAATCAAAACAGTGACAGATCGCTTCTATCTTTAGAGAGTACTCCTAGTTTGAATGCAATGTTTTAACAAACATCTATGTCTAAGATATTGCACATCGGTCTATCGTTTGTTTGGAGTTCGAATGCTTCTAAAGATACAGTCTAAGTGTCAGACTTGATGCCTACGGAAACAATTTGATGCGATTTCTTTTAAAAAGCCACAAAATTTCCATGAAACGATTTCATCCAAGATGGAGTAGTGACCGACCAGGCACATACCTAGTTGATGGAGGCCTTAGAACATATGTCAAATAATAAAAAGGGGAAGAACTTATGACAGATCCTGACATAATCAAAAGTAAAAATGCAGAGCGTATATGAATCAATGTAGTGAGAGCGATTATCTGTGTTCAAAAAAAAAATACACGAACATTTCGAATAGTTCGATTACTCG